GCCCTCACCAAGAGCCCAATCTGTCAACACTTGATCTTATGTTTCCCAGTCTCGAGGACAGGAAGGTGTAGATTTCTACTGCAGAGCACCCAGCCCATAGCTCTTTGTGCACACTAGGCATGCTACGCTTCAGGGGAATTGTTGCATATAAATGTTTCCATTCTGCCTTCTCAGTGTGTGTTGGTGTCTTCATTTCTGGAGAACAGGGCCACGTGCATGGTGCTGCTAAGAGTCAATGATTGTCCATGGCCAGGGTCATCTTCCTTCGTTTCACCACCTATAAGATAAACACTAGGACTCACCCTGCTCTACCCCTTTCCAGGCACCAGCATGGAGGAAAAGCCCATGTCTTCACCTTCCTCGTTGGTAGAGATCGTAATGGTCCTTGACAGGGTCGTGGAAGTTGCTTTCCCTGGCTCTGTCCCCAGGATCACTGGCCCTCCAGACAGACATCACATCTTCTCTTCCGTCCAACATCTGTTCTGTTGGGCCTCCAAGTGAGAGGGTGGGCACTTGGTGGCTGCCTGGCTCGGAAACTGTCCATTATGAGCAGCGGATCATCTTGCCTTCCATTAAGTGTGTGATTACAGCCAGATGCTCTGGTGATGGGCACACCATTCCCTATAATAACCATAATTATGAGCCTGGTGTGTCTTCAGCTCAACACACTCTGAACTTCTGAAGTCGGAAGAAATGTGGAAGAATGGTTTATTAGAGGCCCGCAATCGAATGGAGGAGGAGGAGAACTTTTTTAAGAAGGGGGAAATTCCTGCCTGACAGATTGGCTTCTGTGCAGCCTGCTCTGACATCCTGTGCGGTGGCCTCTGGAGCCCAGAACAAGCATGGCTCTGGCTCCACATTCTTGCGCTCCTTCCTCTTTCTCCCCTGCTCTTCACTCAGTCCCACCTCCGCTGCTCCTGTGTCCTTCTCAGCTGGGAGAAGAAAATCAGCACCTGCTTGCCCACCAACTCGCTCCTCCCTGCTGGGAGGGCTTGCCAAGAGGGGCGCCTCTCCTGCCCGTTTGGGTGAAGTTCTTGGAATATCCAGGGAGGAGGGGGTTGTAGGAAGCTACACTTGGCTGCTTGCCACAGTGACTAACAGCCACCTGGCCTGCTGTTCTGGTGGGTCCGTCTATTTGTGGAATACGGAGCTGTTTGGGGTGTATTTGCGTACAAGCTAAGTCTTTACACAGAATAATGCATTGAAAAGTGCTGGAAACCCAGCATTTGAAGACATGCTCTCTGAGATTGCTCGGCCTGCTGTTACAAAGTCCCACGCCTTAGGGGGCTTCTCGAGAGAAGTTTGCTGTTAATCTTTCACAGTTCGGGATGAAGGTTGGACGTTCAAGATCCAAGCACCAAGGGGCTAGTTTCTTCTGTAAGGTGTGAGGGGAGGCCCTGGGCCTGGATGTGTCCTTCACATCATTGTCCCTCTCCCCGTGTGTTTCTCTCCATGGTGTCTTTCTGTAAGCGCCTCAGTCATATTGAATTAGGAACTATTCCACTCCAATATGACCTCAAACTCACCAATTACCTCTGCCACAGTCACTCGGTGTTTGAAGAAGTGTAGATGAATTTCTAAACAGTCTTATTAAATAAGAAACACAGAGCCAAATACAGGGGTAAAAGCCAGAGAGACCAGAGAAATAGTGAGAGCCACCAGCTAACCTTAGCTCACCACGCCGCCTTAGCTTCCCAAGCCAGAGAGCTTCTTCCTGTCTAACCTGCACCTTTATTTCCTTGCTGTTCTGCCTTCTCATTGGCTCTTAGCCCAGACACCTCACTTCCTTGTCACTGCCTGTCTATACAGACCTCCAGGTCTCTGTGGTTGGCACTGAGAGGAAAAGGCATGTGTCACCACGCTTTCTTGTTCCCTAGTGTGTCCTTGAACCCAGAGACTCTGCCTGCCATGTGATCGGATTAAAGGCGTGCTACCACTGCCTGACTCTTGTTTATGGCTGGCCATGTCCTCTGATCTCCAGGCAAACTTTATTTATTAAGAAAGAAGATCGTATTCTGAGGTGCTGGGATCAAGCCTACATACAAATGTGAGGGGTTGGGGAACACAGTTTGATGTTCCTAATGTATTGTTTGTAAGCCTGCCATGGGTCAGGCACCGTCTGAATTCCGAAGATGGACTCATGACCAAAGAAGAGCACTGAGAGGTATGTAGAATACAAAGAAAAATTATAGGATCAATAAGCTGATGGTTGTGACAATAGATTCCTGGGAGGGCTGTAAGTAAACACAGGCAGGGAAAAGTCTCCTTGTCCACCCAGAGGAGGCTGCCCTGCGGGAGTAAGGTCTAGAGGATAATAGGGATCCACAAGGGAAAGGGTAGGTGAAACAGACAGGAAGTGACAGAAAACACAGCAAGCAGAGGGGTAAGAAATTGTGGCGCACACAGAGAAATGCAGAAAGTTCTGGAGAAGCCACTGAAAGGTTAGGAGTTGGAGTTGGGGGGGGTGTTAGACATCACTTCTGGGCCGGAATACAGTTGGTGTCTGTGTGTTCCAGGTGTGAAGGTGAGGATGAAGAGGAATGAGATACTGCTGGAGGGAAAATAATGCAGGCCTGAGAAGCCACTGAGGAGTTAGGACAGAAGCCCGGGCTGGCCTCAGGGGGCACTAAAGAATGACGCTTAGGAAGTGAAGTCAAACCAACTCATTAGGGAAACCTCGCTGGCTATAGTCTTGGCGGAGAGCAGGAAAGGAAGACAATTCGAGGTTGTTTCTGAGGTCTTAGCAAGAGAGGGCTGAGCAAGGGGAGCTCTGGAGCGCTTTGGCCTTCAGACCCCATCTCGGGCTTCCCAGAGCTCACACGGCGATTCTCCTCAGACAGCCATGTCCCCAGTCTGTGTAAAGTCTGTCCGCTTTCTCCCCCTTGTTATTTTATTGTTTACATACTTACAGCCTTTATCATATGCCAAGCACTACTGTATTTAAAATGTTAAGTAATTTATGTGTCAAAAGGAACCTGCAACATTGCACAGAGGAAGACAAGCAGATCTCACCCCGACTCACACATCTCCTGGGTGGTTTGCAGCGAGATGCGACACAGCCCATTTAGCTTTGGATATTGCATTCTTTTTTTTTTTTCTTTCCAGTGCTGTAGATTAGACTGAGAACCCCACACATCCTAGGAAACTGTTTTACCATGGCACCACATCCAAGACCCCAGAGTACACAGCCTTAACTGTGACTCTCTCCACACCGTCTCTTATGAGCAAGCTAGTATTTTTTATCATTATGCATAACAGAATAATTATTGAACGAGTGTGTGAATGATATATAGTGAAGATGATAGGGAATTGGAGTCTCTGGGAGGGTGTTAAACATAACTTCTAAAACTTTTAACTTGGACAGGAGGTGAGGCTATTCTCAGAGTTGGGAACCACAGGAGAGGTAGCTTCCTCTTGAGGTTGAAGACAGAGGCATGTCGATAGAACAGTGACCTGAAGCAGCCTGGCAGGCCACAGCAGGTGTGCTGGTGTCTGTCACTTCAGCCTCCCCTCACCAGGTTCATGTCACCCGACTCCATGGAGAGGAAAAAGAGTGTCAACACCAAGTGCTTAGTCTTTATCCCATAACAGATGAATAACTGCTATTAGCTTTGGACTCTAGGCATTTTTATGAGATCTTAGTTCCAAGGCTTTGAGGTTTGGCAGAAGAAACATATTATTCACACACAAAACAACTGCATTAAAATAGCATTAAGCATCTGGCTTACAGCGACAAGACCTAGGAAACCGAGAGCAATGGTGAGAAGCCTGTCCTGAGTTCACCCCAACACCGGGCTTGGTACTCTTCCTCCTCCGAGACACAAGGGTCTCTGCTGTGCAGAAGTCACGTGGGGGACCAGGGCAAGGTCGGAAGAAGGAAGGGGGATTCAGGGACAAGCCACCGCAGTGGCTCCGTTTCCTTGACCAAGGCCTGAGTGGTGTTTGTAGTGACACAAGCCCACAGCACTGGACCAGACGCCATGCCCCGATTCAGGATTATCTTGGTTTAAGAAATACTTCTGTCTCTTCACTAGCGAAGCAACAGGAAAAGCAACTGCGTTTATTTCTAAATAGACCCAAATCACTCCAAAATACCATCTATTCTTGGAAATAAATTGGAGATCCGTTTCATTTACCCCCTCTTCTTAACTTGGAAAATGAAAGAAGGCTCTCAGCTACAGGTCAAGAGCGGAGCTGACGAAGAAGAGCAAGAAGACCCAGGCTTCAGAAAATGACCTGGCCGTCACTTTCCCAATGTGCTATAAAATAATAACGCGGCAGAGTCTGGCTGGAAATGCATTAAAGGACAGACTGCTCGCTGGAAGCTGAAAGTAATTTGGGCTCTCCCTCTGACCCATCACTTGGCGGAGCTGAGACAACCTTGGCTCTACCATGCTGCTATTTGTGTGTCCCAGCTGCAAGTGGATCAGTGACATTCCACCAGAGGCCACTGATGACGATGGTGACGTCTCGCCAACACCCCCCCACCCCTTTTCTTTAGGAAGACATGAGATACCCATTAAATAAACAGTTAAGGGCAGGGAGTGGACAGGCAAGAGCAAGCTCGGAGTTGCCAGGGACCATTACGCTGCCATCAGAACGAGGCACCACAAAGCCAGGGACAGACCACACCAGCAGATTTTTTTTTTTTTTTTAGAGCTCCACATAGTTCTGTTCTGACTAGAATCTTATTTAGCAGTCTTAATGAGCGCATTAGCTGCGACTTAACGCTAAGTTTGAATGAAAAGCACAAGGCTTTGACATGTTTCTCAGCAACAGCTTTTGACAAAAACGACATGTTTGTCTCTAGTTTTGTGCTGGGGTTCTTCAGTGGGAAGTCTCTTGAATTAAAACATCCTCTTTGGAGGTTGAATTTTTCAGCTTTTTTTTTTTTTAATTTCACATGCTCCTTACTGCATGCGGCCCCCTCCTCGGCCACACACACAAATAAATCCACCAACCCAGGTGTGGGCTTGCTCGGCCCAGATGCAGTCACTGACCTGTGTGCAGGGGTGTCCACAGGAGAGCAGCAGTGAGGCCTCGTCATTCTGTGGGGCAGGCATAGGCGATCTGAGCCAGTCTAGCATCCCACATCCCAGACAGCATGGCCCCCATGGTTGGCCTTCATGTTTTCTCCATGAGCTATGGAAACGCCATGAGGAAAAGGCAGAGAAGTACTGAGACAGATAGATATGAGGGCAGCAGGGGGAAAGGACAGTCTAGAGCAGCAGTTCTCAACCTGTGGGTCGAGACCCTTTGGGTGATCTAACGACCTTTCCACAGGGGTCACCTAAGACCAAGAGAAAACACAGATATTTATGATTCATAACGGTAGTAAAATGATAGTTATGAAGTAGCAACAAAAACAATTTTATGGCTGGGGGGTCACACACGAGGAATTTTATTAAAGGGTCTCAGCATTAGAAAGGTTGAGAACCACTGACTTAGAGGGTTTCACTGGCCTCTGTTCCATCTCCTTTCCTGTGTTGTGCAGCTCAGTGCCCCACAAGTGTGGACACAGCAGACTCTAAATCCTTGTTTGATTATGTAATCAAGCAGTGTGGGTCACCGAGTCAGGTTGATTGTGAAACCTCCAGGTTCAGAGCATCAGGAGATGGGGAGCAGCATGCTCTGAGAGTTCACTGGGTGCATTCTCCTGGCACCAGGTGAGGGAGACCGCACCTCAGTGTGAGCTGCTGCTGGGGATTACTGAACCCACATAAACGTTTGGTCTCCATGGAAACAGCAGGAATTCAGGCAGCTCTCTCATCACCTGGTTTGGGGCACTGAGCATCCTGGCTGAGCTGGCCCAACCACTGAGATACCTCAACACCACGATAAAGGCCAAACACTTTCCATCTGTCCATAGATATCTTGTCAAAGCTTTTGGGGCTGTTAAGTTTTGCTCCTGCTGAGACAGGAGAAAGGACGGGATGACAAACTCTTGTAGTCAGTTGGCTACTGTGTTGAAAGGCTCTGCAGATTCATCCTAGGGTAGCAGACTGGTAGACAACACCAGGATGTTCATCCAACCCTGGAGTTCCCAGTAGCATGGGACTTCATGCAGAGCCATGGAACTGAGTGTCATCTACTGTAGCAGCAGATCATTCCGAGTGGGCATATTCATTGGGTATTTTAGACTTAAGGCCACAGACAAATATGACTTCATTGCTTTCCTCAGTCATTGTTAGCTCCCTAAATCTGATGGCAAGCATATTTCATGGAAGACCTGGGTGACTTCCCATATCAGTTAATAAAGTGAGAAAAAATTAAAGGAAAATAAACTCATAAAGTTTTATTCTTAAATACCCAGAAACACATACTTACCTGCCACACTCTCCCTATCAACACACTAAAAAAAGGAAGAACTATCTTTTCTTGGGAAAGATATTGCAGATGTGAGTTCAGAAACTGGGCTGAATCTGAATGCTTACTGGTGTGGAAGGCAGCTAGAAGAAGAGCCCAGGGAAGCAGGGAGGAGAGGACTGCAGAGGGGCTTTGTAGGGCACGTGAGATCTGAATCAGGCTGAGGGTGGGACTCAAAGGACTGAGCAGAGGGACTGAGAAAATGAGTTGATACAGAAAATTCTGTGAGATTAAAATGATTTTGCTGCTGTGGGATGTTCTGTATGGCAAATGTGTTGCTCTGATTGGTTAGTAAATAAAACACTGATTGGCCAGTAGCCAGACAGGAAGTATAGGCAGGACTAACAGAGAGGAGAATGGAGGGAAGAGGAAGGCAGAGATAGAGACTGGAGCCTCCGCCAGGACAAGGAAGATGTAAGGTACCAGTAAGCCACGAGCCACGTGGCAAAGTACAGATTAATAGAAATGGGCTGAATATAAGAGTAAGAGATAGACAATGATAGGCCTGAGCTAATGGCCAAGCAGTTTAAATAATATAAACGTCTGTATGTTTATTTTGTAAGTGGGCTGTCAGACTGCCAGGGCTTGGCGGAACCTGGAGAGAAAACACTCAAGCTACATTTTGCTTTCTCATCTTTTCAGAAAACAAGTGATCCAGAGGAAGCAGATTCATGACTTGGTGGGAGACCCTTGTTCAGCAGAACATTTTTGTAGTTTAGTTGTTCTGTTGATCTGACCCTCAAGACATACACTGGGACTTGCAGCCCGCACCTAAGTAGCCCTTGGGTCTACAAATGTGGACCTGGCTGGTATGGGGTCTTGAGTAGTACCAACCATATCTCTGTAGCCATGAGGTTTTCATGTTTGCTGAGGAGAGGAAAAAAACAATTTGCTGGGCTGTCAAATGACCCAGGAGTGATTGGAAAAAAAGAAATGGAAAACCAAATGGTGAGGCAATGGGAGAGAGTAAGACACAATGGAGAATTGGAAAAGACCTCTCGGGAGTTGTGACCGCAAACAGAGGCATCCTAAAGAATAAGAAACAGCCAGTCTTGGAATGGGAGGTGCACACTCCACGCAGAAGGAACAGGAAATGCAAAGGCCCTGGGGGACTGATATTGACACATACTAGGGACAGAGAGAAAAGCTAAGAAAGAGAGTAACACAGCCAACTATAGACAACTGAAGAAAGCTGGGGATGGGAGGGGTGTGGTCTTCCCCAGGAAAGCGCACACCAGCTGGTTGTCCAGTGCCAAATGGTCAGTCCTAAAAACATACATACAGGTAACATCATACAGACTGAGCCGGTTATATTGATGAGTACATGTGTGTATATACATCTATGCATGCAATAACAATTCATGTTTAAAAAAAAAAGGCCATGAATTGAAAGGAGTGTAGAGAGAGGTATATGGAAGGCTTGTTGGGAGAAAATGGAAGGGAGAAATGTTGGACTTATAATCTCAAAAGTATATATAAAAAAAAAGACAACAAAAATTTTTCTGTTGTAACCTTTCTTACGAAGTTGTTTAAATGAGACACATGTGAAGTGCACCTGACAATAAATATGTCCTTTGTGTACAAAAAAAGAATGAATGAAAGAAAGCACAAAGGAAGGAAGGAAAGAAAGAAAATAGTGATGATTCAGGGGAGAAATATTAGAAAGGGGGGATCTAGAGTTGTAGAATAACCTAGTAATAGGGAGCCTTATAATTCACAGTGAGGTATTTGAACTTTATTGATGTATTAATAGGAAAGCAAGACAGGAATTTGGATGAAATAAACTTTAAACGTGGTATAAATTAAATCCTGCTGGGAATCACAGGTCTCAGAACACCTGTGATACTAGTTAATGGATAAGGTCTGGTCAAAATGCGGTCTGTAGCTGGTATTTCTGAAACAGACACACCCAGCTGAGAATTTGGGGGTCTTCCCTTAATTCTACTGCCTTTTATTTTATTTCCCCAAGCATAATGCTGTACCATGACTATCCAAATCGTGTATGTATATTCCATTTCCTAAGCATGTGTGTGGTCACGAATGATGGCCAAGTTTAAGATGCAATGCATTCTCCATATGGCATACAACATTCTCGGTGGTTCTCCTGAAATACCACGTCTGGTGTGTGTGCTGCAGACGATCTGAAAAGGAGACAGGGGGATCTCAATTTTTATTCCAATCCAGCCGTACTGAGAGGCCCTGGAACTCTGGTAAGAAACAGCCCTCCTTTTCCGTCCCTGTGACAGAAGAGAAACTTGGGTACTAAGTCATTATTTCACAGCCAAGATTTTTATCTCCAGTCTGTGTCTCACTCATTTCTGATGAAATGTTGAAAGTGAAAATGTGCGCTTGCCCACCCCACCCTTCTTCCCCTTAAAATGCATGGATTTGTCAGTTTTGTTAACAACAAAATCTGTTGGGGATTTTGACGATGCACTAACTATCCCTTCACACCTCGACGTGCAGATGGCAGAGTCTAAAGGGGCAGAGAGCGTGCTGAATGGGATTGGACTTATTTAATGTGTTCGGATCAGGAGGAGGACTGGGAGACCCAGACCGCACAAGGCCAACCAGAGCCTGACTGGCCAAGACTGCCTTGTCATTATTTTCTCCAAGGGTCAGTCTGGAGGGGTTCTGAGCTGCAGCAGAGGACCCCACCCCCAACTTCTGTTGTCTCATAGCTAGACGGTGGTCATGGGGCCGGAAAGGTGGTGCTTATCAAGAATTTGACTTGTCTTGCTCTGTCATGTGGGGGACTGATGAGAAAGGTCCAGGTAATTTGCATTGCTGCTCTGGTCCTGACGTCCGATCTTGGAGCACACGAGATCTGGCCTCTACCAGTTGGCCGTCTATCACAGATTCTGCATTTTAAAGTGTTTTAAATAGAAACTCACAGCTCAAAGTGTTAAACCAGAAGAATATGGGTTTTTGTTTATTGTTATTTTGAGACAGGGTCTCACCCGTGTAGCCCTGGCTGGCCTAGAACTCACTATGTAGACCAAGCAGGCTTCCAGATCACAGAGACCTGCCTGCCTCTGCCTCCTAAGTGCTGACATTAAGGCACGTGTCACGCTACCTTGCTAAACTAGAGAAATATTAGTCTCTGTTCCAAAGCTTACAAATTAGTCAAAATAGCAAGAAGAAAACTCAAGTAAGTAGACAATTCTTTTTGAGGTCACAATAGAACCAGGAGAGGAAGTTATCTTTCTTTTGCTAAATCCACCCAATCCAGAGTCACCCAAGCAACTCAGTTTCATGGTCACACCTCCCCCCAAGACCCAACCACAAATTTCCCCATGCTCAGTTACTTAGAACAAAAGCAGAGGCCATTCCCCCTCACTATGCTCACAGTGTATTGGGATCCCCAGTGCAAATGACAATAAGGTCATCCTGTTTGTATTCATCCTCTGGTTTAAAGTATACTATCTCAAACCCCCCTAAAGCTGCACACAATGCAGCTAGACATCAGGAAGCTAGCATAAAAGGCACCAGTTACACACACACACACACACACACACACACACACACACACACACACACACACACACGGCTCCCACTCCACATGACAGATTACAGCAATCCCTGCCAATGTTCACACTAAGTCTCTGATTCCTGTTTAATAACCTTTGAAAGCTTGTTTGAAGAGTTTTCCAGCTCCGAAGGGACTGAGAGTTACAAAGAAATAAAGGGAATCAACGTTCTTATGGGCTGGGAGCTGCTGGCCAGAGCTAGCCTTAGTTACTCTTTGAAAGCATTTCATTGAGGGCTTGCTTACAGTTTCAGAGGTTAGCCGTGATCATCATGGCAGAAAGCAGATAGGCATGGCGCTGGAGCAATCGCTGAGGACGTTACATCCTGATATCTAGGCTGCAGGCAGAGACTGAGAACACCTGGGCTTCTGAAACCCCAGAACCCACTCGGCAGTGACACACTTCCTCAATGAGGCCACCCTACTCCAACAAGGCCACGCCTCCTAAATCCTTCTAATCCTGTCGAAGAGTTGCACTCTCTGGTGACCATGCATTCAAAGACATGAGCCTATGGAGGCCATTCTCATGGATACCACCGCAGACCTGAAGAAACCACTGAAACAACCAGAAAACATACAGCTCAAACAGAGGTATGTAATGGAAGGGCTTCCAGGTTGATGTACAAGACTCCATGACTTTGGCAAACTGTCAAAAACTTAATACCACAACTGAGGTTAAAGGCATCCCTGATTTGACAAGAAGTGCCTTTATCTTGCCCATCTGATTTGAACAAACCCTGTGTCACATGGTATCAAGATGGGCAAGGGTTATTCATTAACAGGGCCATAGCTGCTAAGACCGCACTGCTCAAGATTGTCACACGCAAATAAAAATGCACCTGTCCTCAGTAAAATCCAAGGAGTGGTTGGGTTACATGTGCACAGTGTTCCCTGAGCATCCATCCCCAGACAGTCCCCCCAGTGCTGGCTCCTCACTTTCATTCGAGGGCTGTTAAAGCCCTTGGGGACCATCTCAGTTTCAGTTTTACTTCAATACAGTTCTGAGGCTATCGACACATCTTAACTAATGCTCACTTCAACTTCGGCTTTATTGAGACACGCAGCAAATCTTTCCTGTCAAGACTGATTCTTTCCCATGTCCTTCCAAAACTCGGCACCCTGAGCCACCCTCTCAACTGCCTCTCCTTGCAGAGTTGTTTGTTTGCTACCAGGAATTTCTTATCATCCAATGTCACTGACTATACTGGGCTTTTCATCGGTGTTCTTGTTAATGTGCGTGTTGTGTTTCTATGGTTTCTCCTCATAAAAAGTAGTTTTCATTAAAAGAAAAAAAGTATCTGCAGTTCTGTGTGGATGAAAAATAAAAGTAACTTAGAGACAGTCCATTTTGTTTCTATAGTGAAACACCTGAGATACAGTAATTGATGAAGAATAGTACTGAGGTCATGGTTCTGGAGACTGGGGATTCGAGACCACTGTGTTGACATTTGCATGGTGTTTGTGCAGGGCTTTGGTGCTGCACCTTAGGCTACCAACCAGGTTCGGTGAGAGTGAAATCCCGTTAGCTCAGGTTATCTTCTTCTAGTAAAGCCACTAATGCTACAATGGGGTCCTACCCTATCATCTCTAATCTTATTCCTCCCAGTATCCCCATCTCCAAATGTTGTCTACATATGACTACAAGGGTGAGGGACAACACATGGCCTTTTGGAGGATATTCAAACCCTGGTAGAAGCCACAGGTATTACTTTTTCCTTTTTGTTACTTTTTCCTAGTTTTTTAGTTAGCGTACAGTGTGGCTGGCTTCACCACAGCACTGTCA